ATTTGTGTTTGTTCAATAAACCATCTTTACTGATTTCATTGCTCTCCTGTGTGTGTTCCTGCATGTGGGTGAAAAAACTGGTACCCATCATGACAGAACACTCAGGCCAGCAGACCGCCCCAGCAGATTCCATCAGGAGAGCGTTATCTGAACAGCATGCACTCATCCAGTCACATGATTCCGCATTGAGGGAGTTAAGTAGCCGTCAGGGCGAAACTAACAGAAGATTAACAGAAATCTCCAATTTCCTTCAGAACTCTGTCCAACAGAGTTTTCCTAACGATGGTGCTAAGATCGCTTATGTTTTGTCTCTGATGACTGGTAGAGCCCTGGACTGGGCAGAAGCCAGGTTTACTTCCCCCACCAATTTTGGGTGTACATTTCAAGAATTCCTGAAAGAGTTTAAACAGATTTTCTATCAGGAGACTGACAAGACAGCCAGCTCAAGGGATTTATGGAACCTCAAGCAGGGACAAAAGAGTGTAGCTGAATTTGCTATAGATTTCTGAATAAAAGCGGCCGCTTCAAACTGGAATGCCGCCACCCTCAAGAGTGCATATTTTCATGCACTGAGTGAATCCATAAAAGACGAGCTAGCAACCTTAGATGAACCAGAAACCTTAGAAGAACTGATCAGTCTCACCATACGATTGGATAATCAACTTCACTCTTGAACTCGAGAGAGTAACAGGAGAAGTTTCCCTGTTAGGCCTCATTCTGTGTCCACCCCTCTTCAACCTGCTTCTCCTTCTCAGAGTCATGCAGACCCCAAACCCATGCAGTTGGGCCACACTCGTCTCTCCCCTGAGGAGAGACAAAGGAGAATTACATCTCGCTTATGCCTGTATTGTGGTTGCCAGGGGCATTTCATCGCAAACTGTCCCACTCGTTTAAATCCCAGGTCCGGCAGTAAAGGCTGGAAGCCTGCCGGATCTAGAACCAGAAAGAAAGTCTCGCCTATTGTTACCTGCCACCCTGTTTAATGATAATCAGTCTGTCCCTTTATCCGTACTTATAGACTCCGGCTGCAAACAGAACCTCATCAGCCCCATCTTGGTCCACCAGATGTGCGTCACCACCGAACCACTCTCGGTTCCCCTCCGCGTCTCAGCTCTCAACGGCGAGATCCTACCTAAAATCACCCATAAAACCAAACCTGTGCGCCTAGTCATTTCTGGTAATCACACTGAGCACCTGTCGTTTTTTGTTTTTCCCGCAGCTACCACCTCTATTGTTCTGGGTTACGACTGGCTGCAGACACACAACCCCCACATTACCTGGGTTGAGTCTCATGTTGAATCGTGGTCCAGTAAGTGTCACTCCACCTGCCTCTTTTCAGCTGTTCCTCCAGGTTTGGTGTCGGGGAAACAACAGGAGGTTTACCCTCCTGATCGGTCTGCAGTCCCGTCAGAATATCATGATTTAGCCACAGTCTTTAGCAAGAGTAAGGCCCTCTCCTTGCCACCCCACCACCCTATGACTGTGCCATTGACCTGTTACCTGGAGCTCCCCTACCCAACAGCCAGAGGCGCAAAAAGTGGGTATGCAGCGTATGCAACGCATAGGGGCGCAGCACCAGAGGGGGCGCCAAAACACCGTCTGGAGGGGGTGACGCGCCGATTATGTTTTCCCATACAGTTCAGCACGCCTCTTGTTCCTTCACCTCTCGCACATAATGGGGTACTTGTGGCGAGTTTTACACTCCACGCAGCGTCGCCTCGGGAGGGGGGGGGGGACGATTTATGTTTTCGCATCCACCTGAATAATGTGCAGTTGCGCCACTGCCAACAGCCGTCTGTATAACATCTCACGACCGGAGCGAGAGACCATGCAGAAGTACATAAATGATAGCTGCAGGAATAATCCGTACCTCCTCATCTCCTCTGGGTGCAGGCTTCTTCTTTGCTGGTAAGAAGGATGGGTCACTTAGACCCTGTATTGATTATAGGGGGCTGAATCAGATCACTGTAAAGAATAAGTACCCACTCCCTCTCCTTTCCTCTGCCTTCGAGCCTGTACATGGGGCAACAATATTTTCTAAACTAGATCTGAGAAACGCCTATCATCTTCTTCGAATCAAAGAAGGGGATGAGTGGAAGACGGCATTCAAACCCCCATGGGCCACTTCGAGTACCTGGTGATGCCCTTTGGGCTATCTAATGCCCCAGCATTTTTTCAAACTCTTGTAAATGACGTTTTAAGAGACTTTATTAACGTCTTTGTCTTTGTGTACCTTGACGACATCCTGATTTATTCTAAGTCCATTGATGAACATAAGCGTCACGTCCGTCTCGTTCTCCAGCGCCTGTTAGAGAACAAACTATTTGTGAAGGCGGAGAAATGCGAGTTCCACCGGCCATCTGTTTCCTTCCTGGGGTATGTCTTAGAGGGTGGACAGGTAAGACCAGCAGAGGAAAAGATCAAGGCGGTCCTGGATTGGCCTAGGCCCGAAACCCGCAAACAACTACCGCGTTTCCTCGGCTTTGCCAATTTCTACCGGCGGTTCATACGAAATTATAGCCAGACAGCCGCTCCTTTAACCGCCCTCACATTGACAAAAACAAACTTCACCTGGACGACCAAAGCCGAAGCGGCTTTCAAGCAGCTAAAGCACCTGTTTTCCCAAGCTCCTGTACTGGTCCAACCGGATCCCGCCAGGCAGTTCATCCTGGAGGTCGACGCCTCCGACACAGGGGTTGGAGCCGTCCTGTCCCAAGTCTCAGAAGCCGATAACAAGACTCACCCATGTGCTTTTTTCTCACGCAGACTTACACTTCCAGAGCGCAATTATGACGTGGGAGACAGAGAGTTGCTGGCAATTAAGTTGGCTTTGGAGGAGTGGCAACACTGGCTGGAGGGAGCAGAACATCCTTGTCCTTGTTTGGACAGATCATAAGAATTTGTCTTACCTCCAGTCCGCCCGACATTTAAATCCTCGCCAGTCCCGCTGGTCGTTGTTTTTCTCCAGATTTAATCTCTCTATTTCCTATCGCCCAGGTTCCAAAAATATCAAGCCTGACGCACTGTCTCGACTCCACTCTCCAGATGACTCTGAGGAAGGTCCTGCTCCCATACTGCCCCCCAGTTGCACTGTGGGGGTAGTAATCTGGGAGATCGAGGATATAGTCCGACATGCCCATCAGTCAGAACCCCCTCCTGAAGCATGTTCACAGGCAAGTTATATGTGCCCAGCTCTGTTCGAGCCCAGTTTCTTCAATGGATCCACTCGTCAAAGTTCTCCGCACATCCAGGTATCAGTCGCACCATTGCTCTAACCAGTCGTAGGTTTTGGTGGCCTTCAGTCCACAAAGATGTAAAGGAGTTTGTTTTAGCCTGCCCAGTTTGTTCCAGAAATAAGTCCTCTCACCAACCCCCCTTGGGATTACTTCAGCCTCTACCCATACCTAAGAGGCCATGGTCGCACATCGCCATCGACTCCATCACTGGTCTACCCACGTCCAAAGGTATGACCACCATACTTACAATCATTGATTGCTTCTCCAAAGCCTGCCACTTGGTTCCCCTCAGGAAGTTACCTACTGCATCTCAGACAGCCTTGCTATTAATCAAACATGTTTTCCGTCTACATGGCATTCCCCTGGAGATTTTGTCCGACCGAGGTCCACAGTTTATCTCACAGGTGTGGAAACAGTTCTGCACTGCCCTCAAGGCCAGAGTCTCACTAACATCAGGTCATCACCCACAATCCAACGGCCAAACTGAGCGGATTAACCAAGAACTCGAAGCCACCCTCCGTTGTCTCACGTCAGCCAATCCTGTGGATTGGGCCCAGCATCTCCCATGGGTTGAGTATGCTCATAATTCTCATGTCTCTGCAGCTACAGACTTTTCCCCATTCGAAGTGTCTTTGGGTTATCAACCACCGCTCCTCCCCTCAGACGAGACGGACATATCAGCCACTTCTGTCCAACATCAGATTCGCCGCTGCAGAAGCGTCTGGAGGAGCACCATTGCTGCCCTTAATCGGACGGTGGAACAAAATGAACGCCTGGCTGACCGAAAGAGAACCCCTGCGCCCACCTACACTGTAGGTCAGAAAGTTTGGCTATCGACCCGTGATATTCCCTTAAAGTCTATGTCTAAGAAGTTGTCTCCCAAGTACATAGGACCTTTTGAGATACTTGCGGTAATCAGTCCGGCTGCTGTGCGTCTGCGCCTTCCCACGTCTCTACGTGTCCATTCAACCTTTCATGTTTCACAGATAAAGCCAGTCCAGACCAGCAATTCCAGCAGTGATCCCCTTCCTCAGGGGATCACTGGAGATAACCATAATAGGCTAACGTACGCTGAAGGCGTCTGGATTCCTCCGTGAGCTCTCCCTGTGACGCATGAGGTTGTACCCACCGGTTGCTCGAATCCTGGAAGCTCAATCCTCCTGGTCCGTTGTGATCCTCCTCGAGACGCCACAGGTATTACCCGTCGGTTGCCCGGCTTCGGAGATCCCAGTTACGTCTGGACCCTGTCAGACTCCCGCCTCCACCTTCGCAGACCAAACTTACCTGTCCGCCCTCCAGCTCCGCCACCCCTATTCCGAACCTCACCACTCTGGACCCCGCACAATCCTCCCCGCTCAAGAGAAGCCTCCTCTGATTCATCCATTCAGTCCCAGAGCCAGACACCAGCTCAAAGTAAGCTCCGCTATTATTGTATTTTCCCCACTGATCCCGAACGCAACACTAACCACTCTCTCTCGTTGACAGTCAGAGGACCGGATTTTCCCCCTTTTCTCCGGAGCTCAATCCCTCACTTATTATTTGTGTTTGTTCAATAAACCATCTTTACTGATTTCATTGCTCTCCTGTGTGTGTTCCTGCATGTGGGTGAAAAAACTGGTACCCATCATGACANTTTGGGTTATTTTTTTTTTTAAAAAAAAAAAAAAAAAAAAAAAAAGTTCCAAAAGTATTAACACACACAGGACGAAAAATGGGATTTTCGGCAGCTATTGACACCTTGTTCTGCCGTGGAGATTGAGGGCTTTCGGCAAGAGGTTTTTGTCAGTCGAGCACTGCCAAAAATGGTCAAAAATGCTGTGTGTCCGTGTTCCCCTATTACCCCTTCCCTTGTGCCTACCAGAGGTTTTCGTATTTAAATGAAGTTGCTGAGTGCCATGCAAATGCAAATCAACTGTTGAGCACCGCCTTTTGACTCTTATTTATTTTGTAGCCAACCCTTTTTACCTTCTGTTCACCATAAAGAAGTATGTTTGGAGAAAGAATATTAAAACAATCTATCTTATCCATTAAAATATACATTACATGTGTGCTAGGAGCACTGAAAAACTTAGTTTTGGTTGAATTGATGATATAAAAGAAGAATATGCATGATTACATACAATAGACTTTTGTGAAACGTGATCTTACTTTGACATTCCTCCTATCTGAAGATTTATCTTGTGATGGGAGGAATTGCACAACTTAATCAAAAATAATAATAAAAAACATGTTCCAGAGTGGTTCATTGTACCTAAAGTATTTTTGTGAATAATATTCAAACTAATGTTAATGTTCACTGATTGCTTTAAAGACCCAGAGTCATGCTATGTTGGAGTGGTAGTGACACCATTCCACATCACAATACAGGACTTAAGAAACTACAGATGATTTATCAGTATTCAGTTGCTTAACTCTCGAGTTTAAATTGAAGAACAAAATGGTTGAAAGTATGTGATACCTTCTGATAGGGTATAAACATTTGTATTCTTTTCTTTTAAGTTTTGTTAGTTAAGCACTAAATATAACTCACGGATTATGAATCATATTCTGTATAAATTAAAAAGGAGACAGCTCAAAGTAGAATTGAGTAAATAAACATCTATACATTTAAAAACATTTTAGCAATTAATTATAATAAAAATAAAATATACTGTCACGTAACTTTTGAAAAAATAACTTTTAGAATGTATTTTTCTTCTGTCAACTTTCATTTAACACTCCAGTCCAGTTGCTGGCAGTAATGCGCTTTCATAGTCGGTGAAGCAGCCGCCATTAAACTCTAGAGGAAGATTTGCACCGGCTACTGCTAAACCCAACATGAACGAAAATCCCCGTGCGTTGTGTGAAATGGTGGAAACAGTCCTATTTCACGGAGTTACCTTTTCAGTATCGTTTTGATATTATGCAATGTTCCGGCGGAAAACAACAGATGACACCGCGGCGGTCCAACAAGGCCGAACTCATGGTAAGAAAGCTTTTATGAATAGCGAGCACGTGCAGTGAGGCGAGTTGCTTTGTTTGTTTTTTACAGAAAGCGGTCTGTCGTTTTCATATGCCAAAACAAATGTAGGGAGAGATTTCGTATTGTATTTTTTATTACATGTGATGTTCTGAACTCTTAAAAATACTCGCATCTTTTTATTTTTTTCAGACCTGAAAAATGGCCAAACCTCAACAGCTAGGCCTCAGACCACGGTGCCGAGGCGCTTTTACGGAGTCCACCAGGACAAAGAGAAATTCAGTAAGTTATGATTTCACATTTTGTGAATAGTGAACACTCGCATATTTGTAAGGAAAACTGATCTTCCCGTTATTTTATTTATTTTGTTATAACGCAGTACAGCAAGGCAGAGTGTGGAAAGCAGGGAAAGCAGTAGAGATCGACAACGTGGCGGATGGAGGACGGATATGAGGACGGAGCCATGAAGCCAGTATGTATTATGTACAGTCACTGCGTTGATTCCCGACTGTATAATGGTTGGGTGAGAATAATTTTAACTTATTTACTTATGTATTTTTGAGAAAGCCATATATTTGCTACAATATTTTTTTAATTTTACATTAATTTCCACAGAATGGGTGTCACATTTGTGTCAATCAGACTCTTCAGGAACGTCCTGATGTCCGTGATGAGGACAGAGATGCAACTGTGTGTGAGTATCTACTATTTTAGAATGTTGATATTTTATTCTTCAATATTGTTTATGTACATAATGTAATTATGCTATGTATTGTATGTATTGACAATGCACAAAAATGTTTTCCAGCTGCAACCAGGACCTACTGCCAGTCATCTGGATGTAGCTAAAGAAAGAAGCAGGTAAGATTTATTACTAATCTAGAGATGTCACAATTCCTTGAATGATTAAAGCACTGTGATTTATTAAAATCCATCAAAGCAAATTATCTGCGTCAGAGCTTGTTGAACTATGTTTTACTATTCATTTCCAACTGCTTTTAATTATTTTTTCTTCCAATTGTTTCCAAGTGTTTTCTCTTTTTCGTTAAAGTTTTTATTTTTGTAAGAATGTATTAATATAATGTTTTCTTTTGTTGTGTTTTTAGTTTTAATGTCTTATGTGCGCATACTAAGCTGGAAGTTGCCAAACATTTTCACTGTAGTTTCATAATGACAAAAAGATGCCGGTAGCTCGTAATTATTGTCTGTTCTGTATTAACAGCTGATGGAGGAAGGCAGAGAGTACTGGCAGCAGAGGAGGTGGCATTCTGGGAGGATGGCAGCTATGAGGCGGTGTCAGGATGGACCCCAAGTTCCTCCAACCAGGAGCTCAGTGACATCAGGACTACATTACAGGAAGAGACGTCAGGTCTATGCTACAGGAGAGATGTTGGGCCTGTCCTGAACGCAGCATAATGTTTGATCATGTTTGGACAAAAAAACACTGCCAGATGGTCCAGAAATGGACAAGCATTTATATCTTATTTTGTGGGCAAACAGTAAAAAAAAAAAATGAAATAAAGACAAAAAAAAACTTCATCTCTTTTATGTTCCTCATATATGAACATGATGCATATACGCAATATCAAATGCTTATACAATACAGCATTTATTTTTATATAGATTTTTTAAAATACAGCATTAAAAATATTAATGATTGGGGCGGGGTTTATTTATAAAGTCATAAGTGGTGCCCAATGGGCACACATCAACCAACCAATCACATGTCAATGATGAACTGTGATGTCATTGTTTTTCATCCAATGACTGAGAATCCACGTGGGTCTGCTGAAGCGCCTTTGCATATGCTAGGCTATTCGTATGCTAAGTAAAGTCGTTAACACCTCCCGCCACTCCCCCCCTCCAAGGATTCCGCATTCGACAGAATTCGACTCCCGTGACTGAAAACGTAGACTGTCGATTGCTGACAATATCTGTCGCTGATGAGCTGAGTTTGCGTCAGAATACACAGTCAAAAATCCCATTTTTCGTCCTGTGAAAATATATAAAAACAAGATTAACAATGACCATAATTGCTTTTCCCCCCTATACCCATGCCCCTGGGCCTAGTTGTAAAGAATTGCAACATTTCTTGTTTGACTTAATGTCAGGAACCAGGGTTTTGTTTTGTTTGTTTGTTTTTTTTTTCCCCTTCCCTCCTCTACCATCACCAGAGGCCGCCTGTGGGCCGGCCCCTGGAGAAGTGCGGTGGCAACCCTGTGGACACACCTGTGTAAGATCTACATTGGCTGTGGAGCTGCATAAGGAGTGGATGGCCGACTCTCCAGTGCCTGAGTGTTAGCCTATTATGGTTATCTCCAGTGATCCCCTGAAGAAGCTAATGTACGCTGAAGGCGTCTGGATTACTCCATGAGCTCTCCCTGTGACGCATGAGGTTGTACCCACCGGTTGCTCGAATCCTGGAAGCTCAATCCTCCTGGTCCATTGTGATCCTCCTCAAGACGCCACAGGTATTACCTGTCGGTTGCCCGGCTTCGGAGATCCCAGTTACGTCTGGACCCCGTCGGCCTCCCGCCTCCACCTCCGCAGACCAAACTTACCTGTCCGCCCTCCAGCTCCGCCACCCCTATTCCGAACCTCACCACTCTGGACCCCGCACAATCCTCCCCGCTCAAGAGAAGCCTCCTCTGATTCATCCATTCAGTCCCAGAGCCGGACACCAGCTCAAAGTAAGCTCCGCTATTATTATTGTATTTTCCCCACTGATCCCGAACACAACACTAACCACTCTCTCTCGTTGACAGTCAGAGGACCGGATTTTCCCCCTTTTCCCCGGAGCACAATCCCTCACTTATTATTTGTGTTTGTTCAATAAACCATCTTTACTGATTTCATTGCTCTCCTGTGTGTGTTCCTGCATGTGGGTGAAAAAACTGGTACCCATCATGACACTTAAGATGACATAATCATTGTCAGTTCTTTCTTCTATTTGTCTAATTTGACTCTGTGAGTACAAATAAAGACTGTTGGTGTGATCTTTACATCAAAAGACTGACATTGTACTTTGAATGCCAAAAGCTTGCTGACACAAACACGGCAAAGCATTTTACACAACTGCACAAGAAGCAACTTAAGATACTAAATGAGAGTTTTCTTGAGGTTGTTTGGGGGCTGTAAGCAGTTAATATCTTCATTACTGTAGATAACCTTTAATGGTGATTATATTAAATATAAATTCAGATTGGTGCAGTTAAACCCTAGCCCAGAATGGGCTAAAATCAAAACAGACTTCTACCAACATCAAACAAATTGAAATTTGAAAATATCAGAGTAGTTTATTGAAATAAT